ATCCTAAAATATCTTTCGATGATTTTATCCCGTGATTTTTAGCATTATAAATAATGCTATTGAATTCACTTTTTAAGTGTCGCAGAGGAAATCCAAACCATGTTATGTATTTTTTACTTAATTTTCTAATCAGGCTGCAAGACTTTGGGCTCACCCGAACTGCTTCTCATGTATTATTGGAATTTTACTGAGGGGAATTAAATAACATCGGTCCCGTCTTACTGCATAAACCTTTATTAACTTAGAACCACGTTCAAAAAATTATGTTGCTCGATCAATGAGTAGTTTCCACTCTTACTTGATCTTTTTTCCATCATCATCCTACACAGTTTTTTATCTGACAGTTGTTATTCAGTTTCCTTTACTTTATAACCTTTTATCATGCAGGTGTTGAGGATGGTGGCCTGTTCTTTGCTTTCCACGAACGTGAAGCAAGAGTGCAAAGACCGATGGAGCCAGCTCGGTGGTACCATGTCTGCCTCAGCCAACGCGATAGCAACTTCAGCGTCATACTCGACGGTGAAATAGTTTACTCTGTCCGCTGGGCGATGCCTTCTTCAGTGCCCCTGAACGGATCACTCGTCATTGGTCAAGATCAAGACGTTATGGGTGGTCGCTTCAACCCTCTACAAGCGTTTGTCGGCAAGATTTACGGCCTCAATATTTGGACCACCAATGAATCGCTTTCTCCCAGTGAGATGGCTGATTGTACCAACATATCAACTGTTGGAAATGCCATCATTAAGTACGAGACAATCAAATTTCAAAAGTTTGGTAAAATTAGCAACGATACAGATGTTCCTTGCCTGGGCTATGATGAGCCCGTACACATAATATGGCCCGTGAAAATGACTTACAGTGAATCAGTAGGTCTATGCAAATTTCTCTCTTTGAAGGTGCCTAAAGTATTAAGCAGTGAAACAAATGAGAAACTCGTGCATAAGCTTGAGGGTACCTCAGCCATGTGTTTTGGCTTTCTATCAAGCGTGAAGTACGCCTGGATTTCCAATATTGTGGCTGAAGTCCATGATGCGGAGGAAGATGTTCATTCTTCAGGGATGATTGATCCTGTATTTGATACAGTCGATTTAAGCTCGAACAGAAACAATTCCTTTAGTAACGTAATGATGATATCGTCAGGAAAATGGCTATTGTCGGACCCAAGCGAGAAGGCGTGTGCTATTTGCGAAGGAAAAGCTTTCGTTGGCTTTTATTTCTTGCATGGAATTTGCCCGGGTGTTGAAACTATCAAATTTTACCCTCGTGAGAAAGCTACTACGATTTACTTTCATGGAAATTTAAATTTCATGATGCTGTTAGAGGGGCAGAATTGGGTCATTAGAACCACTGAAGATGAGCTCATCGCAAAGCTCATCGAGGATACCAACCCATTTGGCAAACGATCTTGGTATTTAACGCATAGCCTCAGCAGTTGCCTGTACGTATCAAATATTTCTCATTTGAAGAAACTCGAAACGCCGGTAGAAATGCCGTTAATGTTTAGCGTGTGCGACCATACGAAATTTTCATGCAGTGATGGATCTTGTCAACCAAGGGAAGCGCGGTGTTCGCAGCTGAAAGAGTGCACCGATGGCTCGGACGAAGTCAACTGCCGATTCATTAGGCTTCCACCAGGATACGCCCAAAACATCGCACCACCTCAGAATCCTATTGATCTCAACGTATCTCTCTCCCTATCTCAGGTTTGTGCTTTAGTTTCTAGCACACATTAGAAAAGCGTGAAGCTCTCTGTAAAGACATACATAGTTCTGTAGTGTAGGTGTTGAAGAATATGCCTGGTTTGGCCTGTCAGGCTGTCACCGATTCTTGCACTTTTCGTAAATAGTTCACAGATCATGTAAATTATTTTAGTGAGCAATCAATCTTCAATATTTGTTTTTTTTTCTCTCTCTCGAGGTTACGTCGATAAACATTCTAAAGCAACTGGCACGAATGAAGATGAAAATGGTCGTCATTTGGAAAGACACTCGTTTGGAATTTCTGAACCTTCGTCCTCGCCTAAACGGAAACTTGGTCACCAACGCTACCGATCTCATTTGGCTGCCCATCGTGCAGGTTCGAATGACCCTGAGCTATAAAAAACACGCTGTACCGTTCTCAAAATTTTCTGTTTATTTACAAAAATTTTTGTTCTAGTTAAAATATTTTTTTTCTAGGTTGACAATGAGGATCGTTTGGAAGGAACTGTACCTTCAAGAGATTCTATTCACCTCTTTGCCGACGGCTTCTCTACATTCGACGGTGAAGGTAGGGCTACTTGTAATTTTCAGAGAACGATGAAACTGTCAAACTGGATAATTTAAAATGATTCATACGTCATTCGGTTGTTGGTTAATCTACATATAATAATTCTCCTGCTATACTTTTAAGCTCAATGGCCCGGATGATAAAAAGGGCACTAGCACTACGAAGTAGCACTACGCACTACATGCCGTATAGTGCGACATCTAACACCACGGTTGGCATGCTAAATAGGGCACTAGCACTATGAAGTAGCACTACGCGCTACAAGCCATAGTGCGGCATGGAACACTACGGTTGGTATGCTAAATAGGGCCAAAAGCATAACGCGCACTACAAAAATCTGAAGTGTCCTACACACCGCACTTCACGACGACACTACTGTATATTTCACGGATTTTCACCTTGTTTACTTCGTCAGCTATGGATCTGTTTGGCTTACAGCAGAGGCACCATCGCGTAAAAACCTCAGGAACTACATGCCATGAATATAAAAAAGTATACCGCTTCAGTGAACAACATGTTATTCTTATGGCTAACATTTTCCTCGGCGGTTTGTTACCTGTAACGGAAGTAGAAAATACTTTTCTTGTTTTTGATACCATGTTTTGAATCTTCTTTTTTTTTCTGGAGTCATTTTGAATTCTTCTGCAAGAACTTTCCATGCTTCTCTCTTTTCTTCGATGTCTTTGGGAAGTGTGGAATTTGAATATATGATGGGAAAGGTGCGCAAACGCATTGCGAATTTCAGCTCACCATCACAATTGTCACTAGTACCAATACCATCACAATTAGACATTTTACATCAATCGTCTGCAAAGAATGAGAATTACTTAGGGAATAATTAAATATTTGAGCACTTAACTACCATTCTTCAATATACTCATAGCGTAGTGCTGCACTATAAAGGACTCTGACAGCGAAGCAGCACTTCAAAGTCTTTCTGTATACGAATCAGTAGTGCGACACTAATCATTGTAGAGCTACTTCGAAGTGCTTAGTGTCTGTGACGTATTTAGCAATACCAACAGGACACTTCGTAGTGCATAGTGCTACCTCGTAGTGCTAGTGCCCTGTTTAGCATACGGGCCTATGTTTTGTATTTGATTTTTAAAGACGTCAAACGTACATGTGTTCTTGCTTTCAAATACTCTTAGCTCTTCCATTTTTTCCAGAAAATGTCTTCAAAGGATCGGATGTATACATTGCCTACACACTGGAGTTATCAAAGAATATAAATTGCTTCTTTTTATTTCACTATTATCCGTTCGACACCCAGCAATGTGAAGTTATATTTTCATTTGTAAATATTCCTGAAACTTCTTTGAATCCAATTTTGCACGACGTCTCCGAAAACATCAAGACCCCTGAACAACTTCCATCAGAGTACGTTTTGGTAAAGTACTGCACCAATTTTGAGGAAGGGCGTCTCGTCTACTCATTCTGGATGAGGAGGAACATACATTATCCTGTATTCTCAATTTATTTTCCCACGGCTTTGATGCACCTGATAAGTTACGGTACTCTTTGGATACCCGTGATGGACTTCCCAGATCGTGGAACGATGAGCCTAACCACTCTGTTGGTTCTAATAGCCCTCTACAGCGACATCTTGAGTCAACTTCCAGTAACATCCTACCTAAAGTTCCTGGACGTGTGGTTCATATTTAGCATCACCTACATTTCGGTCATTATATTCGTGCATCTATTAACAAGCAACACAGGACGTGTAGAAAAAATCAATCAACGTTTTCGATGGTTTTCGAACTCGGTGGTTTTGAACCACGCCCGGAAATGGATGGGGGTGGGATATCTTGCTTTTCACTGTGCGTACTGGGGCTTCTTGTACCACGCTTCCCAGTTTCTCCCAAAGTGAAAAAAGTTTGCAAACCATTAAACAGTTTCGAAGAGCTAAAATTACCACATAGATACAGAAAAAATGTTTGAAATTTTTGAGCCCTGTTAATGCTGAGTGCCCTTGAGGTGCGCAATTCGCTTCATTTGGACTAGGCGGATCTCTACACGCCTCAGACGATAGTTGCTAACGCTGAAAATCTTGAGGTACATCAAGGATTTTCAAGTAAAATAGGACTAAATATATAATGCATAATTGACAAATTGTCGCAGCGATAGAATAGAAGTGTCAGCACTGAAAAAATAGGCCCATGACCTGTTGCCGAGCATGTAGTTATATCTAACTTCGTATACATACGTTTGAATAAGTTTGTAAGGTACAAATAGCATGCAGAGAATACAGTCACATATATGACTTGATTATTTTCCATGATAAACATTAGATGTAGATGTCAGAAGAAAAACGTCAGATTTCTATCGCTGCCCACAAGGGATCATTAAATTTACCTTGCTCGGCAAGAGTCTTGGGTCATCATCCAGAGAATCTTCATTCACACGCTAGTCAGAACGAATACTTCACATAGAAAGTAAATAAAATGATTATTCTAAGATTGACTCGTTCAAAGGAACTTGAATGATGAACTTGTAGTTATCTAGTAGATTATCTTTAAAAAAATCATGCATACACTTCTAGGTGAGGTTTCAATAAAATATTGTATCGAAAGACATCTAGAATACTTGAACAAGATAATATTATTAGGCTGCTCTTTTTGAGTTATTATTTTGTAGGTGCCCCTTTGCTATTGTTACCTGTACGCAGGTAAAGGCGCATTCACCATCGTCGTCAGCAGCACCTCTCACTCAATGACTCGACACGCGACCCCAACTCAGTTTCAAACATGAAGTGGCTCCGTGTGGGTGCGTACAGCTCTGCCCAGATCATTTTGTGAAATAGCTCGTCTTGTTAGATATACACGCCTCACCACTTTGTCTTAAGCTTATTGTGTAATGAAAGTGTCTTTATAGTCATTATGCTACGATTCTTTAGTAAACGTGTAGGGCGCAATGCCCAGAAATACAAAAATGTTGCCGTTGATGGGAAGACTACGAGTACGAACACCTCTGTTCCTGCCCGACCAGTTGGGAAGCCTAACAAGAACATTTTACCTTGCACTGTTACACTCCTTGACTCTACGGATGTCTCTTTCGAATTGCCCGTGAGTAATTTTGTTTATTATTTCCTGTTATTTCTAGTACATGGGAATTATCATTTGGCAGGTCAGCCTTGTTTTTATCATTTTATGCGGCATAGCTATAAAAGCTCCACACAATTTTAATCTATAGTAGGTATAGCCATCTCCGATAATTATGACGATATATCATTGTTATTGTATGTACAATGGAACGTACAATGAGTTAGTATGGCGAACTAATTGAAGTTCAATTGTGTTCTACGCTTATTTTTTTATGCATTGTTGTGTAGTTAGGCTATATCTTGCTGTACTACGTATCAGATGTACTAGATGAAGACTTCTATCAGAAGACATCCTCAGAACTCAGAGCTACCAAATTGGAACTTCGCTTCAAAAATTAAGTGTTTTCTACTAAAATCAATGAGGTTTCTTGAAAATCTTGTTCAAATTTTTATGCTTTTTTCTAGCCAAGTGGTAATGTTCATAAAAAATATAGGTAACATTAGTCTTGACTTCAAAGTTATTCGAGTCTACAGGTAACAGGCGACTAGTATCTTTTTATTCGGCCAATAAATAAACAATGTTTCCCATGGTCTTATTTACTTTAGCTAGCCGTCTGACACCAATTCATGAAGCTAATATTTACATCGACGTCAAAAACGTGGCCGTTGTGCAATGGCTGCTAACGAAAGAAAAAAAGTCGACACATTTTACTTTCGAAACGTAGTTGTGTCAGTGTTCTGTAAATGCGATGATGTGCACTCGAATAGTTTATATACCTATAACCTTTTTCTCGATAACAGAATGTTCCTAACGTGAATATGTACCTACCTATCTTTGTCCTTTATCTTTAGTCTGCTTAAATAGCAAGTTTTCTGAGAATATAATACTGCAAAGAAAACGTCAATTAAATTCACCCTATCTTCATTGAGGACTCTTGAAATATGATGGGGCTGATCCCCGAAACTTTTTAACTAAATGTGAATATGGTGAATTTACTTAGCGTTGTCCTTGCTTTAAAATTCTTGTTAGCCCTGTTTGCAATCCCAGTTTTCTATTACTCATTCTAGTCTAACTCAGCTTATTCACACGATTTGTTTATATATTAATTATTAGTACGAAATGAATTTGTCAAACCAATTGTTCTGTTTTGTTAATCGTTTTGTGCGGCACACAAGCGGTTCGCTGATATCTCAGAATCGAGCGCAATTGTTCACGCTGTTTAATGACTAACGAAATAATATAGAATAATCAAAAGCTTACTTAATAACTTTTATTTATTCACTTCGCAAAGTTCTTATCGCGGCTATTATACGGTAATACCATCGATGGTATCAAAGTATTGGGGAGAATTGAATTTCTTGCATATTCTTGCCGCATTTAATGATGGAACTGTCTAACGGAACATGGCAATGTTAAAGCCTCGAAACCATTTTGAGACGAAACGATTAGGTAAACCAAGGTTGTGTTTCCCATAATTTTAGTTTAGTATTTTCAAAATTCTACAGCGAGTCTTCTCAACAAATAATTTTGGTGACATATATAAGTGTCCAAATGCACGGTAAATTTGCTAATAACAGCTGCTTGGGATATTTACTGACATCTGCGTGCATCTGCGCTACGAGCCACACCGCAGCTGTAGGTGCACTCAAAGATATGCGAGATTTTGTCCAAATATTGATGGATATTTTGCGATTATATGGGTTATCCTAACGCAATTTGGCGCGGCAAAGGGGTATTCATGAACTCGAGGAGTGCAGACATGAGCCGTAATTTGGGAGTGTGGTGCAGACATGAACTCGAGGAGTGCAGACATGAGCCGTAATTTGGGAGTGCGGTGCAGATGTGAACTCGAGGAGTGCAGACATGAGCCGTAATTTGGGAGTGTGGTGCAGACATGAACTCGAGGAGTGCAGAAATGAGCCGTAATTTGGGAGCGCGGTGCAGACATGAGCCGTAATTTGGGAGTGTGGTGCAGACATGAACTCGAGGAGTGCAGAAATGAGCCGTAATTTGGGAGCGCGGTGCAGACATAAGCCGTAATTTGGGTGTGCGGTACAGACACGAACTCGAGGAGTGCAGACACGAAATTGAGGAGTGGTGCTTTAAGGGATTTTGAGGAAGAAGGAAAAAGAAAACAGAATTGCGATGGACGAAGTAAGGAAGTGAGGTGGATGTAACAGATGGACAGATAGAAGTTACGATGCCAGGATGAGGTAAAGTAGGAAAAAAGTGATGAAGTATGATAATGACGACTTTAATTGTAAGTACGATAAAAATGTTGATCATTTGGTTTTTTGGAGACGGGATTGCGAACGACTCCGATGGGCCGGGAATTTAACTCGCCGCAAAACATTCGAGTATTTCAAGATTAGCCTTAATTTTTCTAAAAAGCCGTACATAACTAAAACATATTAAGTTGAGATAGTTCACGTTTTGTTTTTAATGTTCAATTCTACTTTACATCCCATGGAAAGCCTTTTTGCAGTATAAATTTGAGAACCGTTTTTTGCGATGCTGTTGTGAACCGTTCGAGCTAATGGCTTTGATAACCGTTCAACAAATAAAAGTTCGATGTTATTGAGTTGCCGAGACATGCACATACGGAGCTCGGCTCTGCAGCGCCGAAGTTGTTGACCAAAGCTCACCGTTAGTCGCCCTCCGGCTGCTCCGTCGGACCTGCTTCACGATCATTGGCCGTGACCGTCCGTCTTCTGGTACTCCAATGTTCAGTTTATATCATACGTGTATAAATGCTATTTAATCGATGGCCAGCGTCTTNGAGCGACATGTGCGCCGTGCCGGGGTGAGCGACATGTGCGCCGTGCCGGGGTGAGCGACATGTGCGCCGTGCCGGGGTGAGCGACATGTGCGCCGTGCCGGGGTGAGCGACATGTGCGCCGTGCCGGGGTGAGCGACATGTGCGCCGTGCCGGGGTGAGCGACATGTGCGCCGTGCCGGGGTGAGCGACATGTGCGCCGTGCCGGGGTGAGCGACATGTGCGCCGTGCCGGGGTGAGCGACATGTGCGCCGTGCCGGGGTGAGCGACATGTGCGCCGTGCCGGGGTGAGCGACATGTGCGCCGTGCCGGGGTGAGCGACATGTGCGCCGTGCCGGGGTGAGCGACATGTGCGCCGTGCCGGGGTGAGCGACATGTGCGCCGTGCCGGGGTGAGCGACATGTGCGCCGTGCCGGGGTGAGCGACATGTGCGCCGTGCCGGGGTGAGCGACATGTGCGCCGTGCCGGGGTGAGCGACATGTGCGCCGTGCCGGGGTGAGCGACATGTGCGCCGTGCCGGGGTGAGCGACATGTGCGCCGTGCCGGGGTGAGCGACATGTGCGCCGTGCCGGGGTGAGCGACATGTGCGCCGTGCCGGGGTGAGCGACATGTGCGCCGTGCCGGGGTGAGCGACATGTGCGCCGTGCCGGGGTGAGCGACATGTGCGCCGTGCCGGGGTGAGCGACATGTGCGCCGTGCCGGGGTGAGCGACATGTGCGCCGTGCCGGGGTGAGCGACATGTGCGCCGTGCCGGGGTGAGCGACATGTGCGCCGTGCCGGGGTGAGCGACATGTGCGCCGTGCCGGGGTGAGCGACATGTGCGCCGTGCCGGGGTGAGCGACATGTGCGCCGTGCCGGGGTGAGCGACATGTGCGCCGTGCCGGGGTGAGCGACATGTGCGCCGTGCCGGGGTGAGCGACATGTGCGCCGTGCCGGGGTGAGCGACATGTGCGCCGTGCCGGGGTGAGCGACATGTGCGCCGTGCCGGGGTGAGCGACATGTGCGTCGTGCCGGGGTGAGCGACATGTGCGTCGTGCCGGGGTGAGCGACATGTGCGTCGTGCCGGGGTGAGCGACATGTGCGTCGCACTAAAAACTTCTTCTGTTGACTGCCTTGACTGTCACCACGAGACGCGTCCCGTGGTTTAAATTAACTCCGTTTGCCAGTATATTTTGATGATGATAATAGTTCGTTCGATATGTGATTGGCTGGTGCTGATGCGGTCTTGATTTTATAGAAATTTATCATATAAATGTCATTGAAATCTAATTATGATGTGCATAGTTGGCGCGCCTGGTATGGGTTAAAATTTAAGGCGAAATTTTGAGTCGAGCTACAATAATCGATGTTATGAGATTGTATCATTTACATTGGCATTTGCTTTGTCTCATGGTATTGACTTTAGCGTAATCGAGGTCTCGATATTTTATTGCTTTCTTTCACTTACAATTGTCTTGAATATTTGATCAAAAATTCAAGACAAAATAAAATTATTTAACCATATTTTACTATCAATCAATACATATTTTACAATCATCTTATTTACGAGGCAAGAACACAGAACGTCGCCCAGCGCTAACCCAAATAGCATAATTTTTTCTTTCGAACTTTGTTCGTTTATTTAGTAGGTATTTCTTATCTGCATAAGTTGCTACAAATTAGAGGACTTTTTGGGGGTATGATGTGCACTCGAATAGTTTATATACCTATAACCTTTTTCTCGATAACAGAATGTTCCTAACGTGAATATGTACCTACCTATCTTTGTCCTTTATCTTTAGTCTGCTTAAATAGCAAGTTTTCTGAGAATATAATACTGCAAAGAAAACGTCAATTAAATTCACCCTATCTTCATTGAGGACTCTTGAAATATGATGGGGCTGATCCCCGAAACTTTTTAACTAAATGTGAATATGGTGAATTTACTTAGCGTTGTCCTTGCTTTAAAATTCTTGTTAGCCCTGTTTGCAATCCCAGTTTTCTATTACTCATTCTAGTCTAACTCGACTTATTCACACGATTTATTTATATATTAATCATTAGTACGAAATGAATTTGTCAAACCAATTGTTCTGTTTTGTTAATCGTTTTGTGCGGCACACAAGCGGTTCGCTGATATCTCAGGATCGAGCGCAATTGTTCACGCTGTTTAATGACTAACGAAATAATATAGAATAATCAAAAGCTTACTTAATAACTTTTATTTATTCACTTCGCAAAGTTCTTATCGCGGCTATTATACGGT